ACAGGCCAGAGAGAGAGAGAGAGAGAGAGAGAGAGAGAGAGAGAGAGAAAAGATATAACAAAGGGTCCCTTCATGTCAATTCGAGGGCCCCTGCAGGTACCTCGAATGACTCCTACGTTACATGTAGAGTCATCGAGGACCACTGCTTCAATTAGGAGGATGGTCTCGTTATATCTGTGGAAGAGGTAGGGCAAACCACCAATATATGCTTTGGATTCGAGTTCAAGGCTGTAGCTCGGCAGTTATGGGTCACCAATTCAGCTAGAGCCTGTTCGTGTCTCCCCCTGATTCTCAGGGCCTCCCTCCACCACTCACCAAATGTATACAATATTAGTAGAATGAATCTTCTGCTAAAACATGGAACCATACACCGCCATATGCTATGTCTTTTGTGCATGTGGTGAGTAGTGGAGCAGGCCCCACTGTACGTATTCGTAAGAAAACAAAAACAAAAAAACGAGAGCTCCCTCCACCACTCACCAAATGTATACAATAATAATATTAGCAGAATGAATCTTCTGCTAAAACATGGAACCATACACCGCCATATGCTATGTCTTTTGTGCATTTGGTGAGTAGTGGAGCAGGCTTTACTGGACGTATTTGTAAGAAAACAAAAACAAAAAAACGAGAGAGCCACGGGCATCTTCATCCTAACCCATAACTGCCGACATGCAGACCTGAACACCAACCTTCAGAATATATTGGTGGTCTGTCAGACATGAAAATGCAACCTGTGACTTTGCAAAGTTCGTGGGGCAGGTTGTTACTAGGCGACTACCCTCTTCTAGCGAACTTACCCCACCACTGCGTGGGGTTTGCAGAAGGGAGGGGGAAGGCCTATTTTATGCTTTGCCTTTTTGAAACTTCTCGGGGTAGGGCCTGCGGAAATTGAAATTCGGCAGCCCTTGCCCAAAAAAAAGTTCGGGCCGGGGGCGCGGCCGGTTTGCGAGCTCGCGCGGTGCGTTTAACATTTTTGCCGAGTTGGGGACCCTAAGCAATGACAAAACCTGTACTTTTTTTTTTTTTTTTTTTTTTGGACCTAATTTTTACAGTGCAGTGCGCTTGGGTGCACTGTGCGGTGCGCTGCGCCCGGTGTGCAAATCGTGCGCAAATCCGCTCACCGAGGTGCGCCGCAACTATGCTATTTATTATTTTCCCTTTATAATGCTGTCTATGACCTTGCCTACATAGCCGCTATCTCCCCTCCGTAGTAGGTCTACGTCCATGCGTCTTTGCCACTCTTCTGGTCTCACCAAGACTCACCCTCCCCGTCTCTCCTTGTTGACGGTTTCCCTGCTTTCTTGCAGGTACACTCATGCGGGCAGTACAGAAAGAACACAGTTATGGGCATCTTGCAAGCAGAGGAAAACTTGGGCCCCCTTTTCCGTACGAAACAATGAATCCGATGCAATCCACTTGTTTCTCTTTGGTCAATTCAGCCCTCTTAATTTTATTTTATTTATTAAATTTTATTTCAATTATTTGTTTATTTCTTTTGTGCATGTGTGTGTGTGTGTGTGTGTGTGTGTGTGTGTGTGTGTGTGTGTGTGTGTGTGTGTGTGTGTTATTTATGTGGATGGCTGACCAAAAAATGAGACTGAGGGAACTAGCAGTACGAAACCCAAGCCAATATTAACCCAAGCGAATAGAAGCCAAGCCAATAGTCTTATCATGACTCTTATGTATATATTGAGTTAAATAGTTTGAATTTTGAGCTGTTAAACGGGCGGATGCTCATTATTTATATCAAAGTTGGACAGTTTAAACTGTTGAACTGGGCTACTGACTAAGGTGCAGGCCCCACTGGTGTTATGGTTGTGCTGGGAGAGCATGAGCTGGGCCATAAAAGCAGCCAGATTTGTGCTACCGTCTTCACCTCAATAGAACGCCTGATCATGATCGCTGCATCTGGACCGAAAGTTGTGCCAAATACAGCTATAATGACCGGGCGTTCTAATCGGGTGAAGACGGTAGGCACCAGTGGTGCGTGACGCTTACCAAGTGCAAAACCAGATCATCCACAACTGACTAATAGTCAGGCGCCACTGGTGCTATGTTCATGCTATGCGAGTACGAATCTGGCTGCTTTTATGGCCCAATTCATTCTCTCCAAGCATACGACTAGAACATCACCAGCGCCTGCACCTTGCACAGGTGGAGGTCGTTTGCTGCTGGAACAACACAAGCATCTCTACTTAAGCATAAGTAACAAAGTCTGCATAAGACGAAAGATTGACGCAAGGGCCAATGCTTGTTGAATTACGGTGCCTATCCTGAGTGTGGAGGGAAGAAGAGAGGACACATACAATACAGCCCAGAAGAGCAGAACAAAGCAAGTGAAGGGTTGGCTGAAAGGAGAACTCTAGGTGATGATTACAACCTATAGCACACTCTTCAGAGGCCGGGCGCCTCTGGAGCAAAATGGATGGCGGGGCCAGCGAAAAGAAAAGAAAAGAAAAAAGTTGCGCTGCTGATTTGGCAAAGCTTGCCAAGCAGGTCTACTCCACCTCGGGAAAAAGAGGCTTGGAGGGTAGTGGGGGTTTGGAGATTGTGGTTATGTTTGTGATGTCTGTGGAGGTGAACCAGAAGAGCACAGTTTTGCAGACATTTATTTTGTCCCCGAATGCGTTTTGCACGTCTTCTACATAGAAGGTTTAGTTAAGATGGCGTTTGCTAAGGAGGAGGAGGAGGAGGAGGAGGAGGAGGAGGTGGAGGAATCTCTCATCCGCTCATACACTGCTTTATATTGATGGATAATATTGTCATAATTGTTTGTAATATCTGACTGAATGCAATGCATTTGTCTTGTCAATCTCAGCTATCCATCGTCTGGACCGACTTGTATCTGGCCTCCTCATCTTTGCCAGGAACAGCTCTGCAGCCGAAAGATTTCGAAAAGATGTATGTACTATGTGGATCTCTCTCTCTCTCTCTCTCTCTCTTTCTCTCTCTCTCTCTCTCTCTCTCTCTCTCTGTGTGTGTGTGTGTGTGTGTGTGTGTGTGTGTGTGTGTGTGTGTGCAGTCCACTCTGATGCAGGGAATGAGATGCAGCCTCCTGAATAAAGAACATCTGCACGTGCTGCCAAGCACAGGACAGGAAGATTGTGATCTGTGCTGTGGTGGTAGTACCTATTCTTAGAACATTTAAAGTCAGGGTGTTTTTTTTTTTTTTTTTTCCTGGGTTCTGTGTTGTAATGTTAGCAGTAATCAAGTCAAGCTCTGTCTTGTTGTATTTCCATCATGTTAGTTCCAAACCAACCTGAAAATTTATATCCAAACTCCTGTACTGATTTTTATCGTATCCCTCACTTCAAAAAAAAAAAAAGGGCAGCACGGAGTACATGTATGGGGGTCTCGCGTACACGAGTACATGCACTCCCGTACGCAAGTACATACTCCCCTACATGAACTCCCATGGGACTACGTATTCTTTTTAATATACATAGTTATGTGACACTATATATATGTTATGAACATGATTGTCCGTTGAAATTTTGTCAACGCTCACTCACAGGAACTCCCGTACACGCCCATACATGCACAGAAGGAAGGGGAGAGGTAGTGGAGTGTCACACCGCCCAACAGAAGAAATGCAGTGGAAGACTCAGAGGAGCGAAGTGACTGAACACACAACACAATGAATTCTCTCCACAGAAGTCCCAACAATCATTCATAGAAGACAACCGAGAAACCACACCCAGAAATCATTGAAGAGATGACAACTCAGACACAGTATTAAAACTGTTTATTAAACTCAGAGCATCGTTCAACTGAATAACCTCTGAACCCTGTTGCGCTACCCTCAGAAGGGTAGCCCCTCCACCCACACCCTCTGAACAACTAAAAATAGCACCAGAATCCCAGGTAACACCCAGCGCCACCCTGAAATCCAACTCAGTGGCCTGCACCAGTATGATACAGGCTCCCAGAGCCAATCGCCACTCAGATGATGAAGAAGTCCAGCGCCAACAGTCTCTGATGACGATGAAGTCCAGATGATGATAATCTCCGAGAAGATGCAGCTATGGCAGCCTCGCCACAGGGACCCTACTCCTGAGGAGGGTCAGCAGTGCACCACGTGCTCCGACGCATCAGAGCTCTACTAGCCCAGACCGCTTTGACTCTCTGAGAGGCAGAGCGGACAGCGTTGACCCCACTCAGGTCAGCGCTCCGAAGGTCTGGCTATGTCCGCGGTCTCCCACGCATGAATCAGTCACCACGACCTGATGCCGCGTGTGCAGCAACTTCCACCACGAAGTGTCAACTGCCAAAAGCCCAGGACCGATGTTCCCATCCTATCTATACTCTACCCTAGCCTAGACGCAACCTAGACCGGACTGACTGATCAACCAGTACCGTCTCTGTTTAGGCCCCTAGGGCCTCTCCCTACCCGGCTATAGGCTATAGGACCGTCTATTAGTGTAGACCCATCGGGCCTGTCTATCCTAGGGGTAGCCCGGGTCTGCTATTCGCAGTTAGGGTGACTGTAGGAAATTTGAGTTAGTACTAGGCCTATATTCTCCCATATTCACAGACAGGTCCCACACGAATTTTCCTTACAGGTAGGTCTCTCGGTTAGCCCTCAGCCAAACAAAATTACAAATCTGTCCCTACCTATGGTACAGCCTCGTCAGAGAGAGGCTACAGGCAACCTGGAACCAGCCAGTCATTGCAGACCTACCCTCCCCCGGAGCGAGGACCTCCGAGCTAGGGGCGTAGGCGTGCAGAGCGTCGAAGGGATTCTCCCCTCTGCGAAGCCTCGTATTTGAGGATAACAGACTTTGCTGTTTTCATAAGTTCCTTGCGAGTAAACCAGCGGTCTTCAATGTGGGGCTGGTATAGAAACTTCACAAGGTACTCCTTATCCGGGCCTGTCCCATACTCCTCCTCAACTGAGTCCACCTCACATCCCTTCCCAGGGATCGGGGGACCAAACTGGGGAGGCCTGTCTGGAAATGCATCAGTTGGGGTAAACTGTAACAACTTGGATGCATGGAAGACAGGGTAGGTTTGTAGATGCAGGGGACGTCCACATGATAGGATGACCCGAAAGGGTCAGCTCCCACTGTATCTAAAACCTGCCATGGACCCATATAACGCGACAACAACTTGGTTGAAATGTCCTCCTCCTGGGATAACTCAGAGCTGAGTACCCAGACCTAGTCACCAGTGCGAATGGGGGATGGGCGACGATGCTTGTTAGCCTGCTGAATCTTAGCCTTCTGGGCTTTAAGCAGGTTAACTTTGGCTCGTTTGATATCCCTCTCGTCCTGCCTGGTGAATGTTGCAGTCCCAGGCGTCAATCTGGGGGTAGCCTTGTCAAGGATGTCATCGAGAGGCTGTTGTGGTTCACGACCCCAGTGCAACCGATAAGGGGTGAACCCTGTGGAAGAGTGTACCGACGTATTGTACACTAGCTGTGCCCGTCCTAGATGGAGATCCCAATCCTGTTGATCAGGGCTGATCACAAGACGCAGCAATTGGAAAAGGATCTGGTTCATCACTTCAGCCTGCCCATTGGCTTCAGGATGACGACCGACTGTCATGTCCAGTCTGGAATGAAGGTAGTCCTTACAATAGGATTGCCACTCATTGCTGCAGAACCGCGGATCCCTATCACTGACAATAGAGGTGGGTGGTTCATGGTGTGTGACCCACCTGTCAGCAAAGGCCGCCTGTACGACCGGGACTCTGGCTTCCTCTGGCAGCGGGATGAACTCTGCATACTTAGAAAAACGGTCCACACATACCATCATTACCTGACGCATACCGCGAGGAGTAGTCCTCCCTAGATCAGTGAAATCAATAGACACTGATTGTGCAGGTGCATCAGGAATGGGGAGTGGCTGCAGTAGCCCAAGGGGAGGTCGGCGGACGACCTAATTCCTTTGGCACAACTCATAGGTCTCAACACGCTGTGACAGGGCTGCTAACGAGTTTAGGGCCCCAAAGTGGCCGTGAGCATCATGACATTTAGACATCATGAGTGTTCTCAGCTGGCGGTCCTGAGGGATGCACAGACGCTCCTCTCCTCTGCTGCAGGTATACAGCAGGTCTGGAACCAGAGTATATCCTAGTTCAAATGCAGGATCAGTCTGCAGATTTCTAACAATAGGGCCGGAAATCGGGTCCTGTGGCAGTAACTGGGCAATGGTCTGACGGGTACTCTCCCCAAAGGTATGAGCAGAGGAGATGAGATAGAGAGCGTCAGGCCTACGAGAAAGCGCGTCTGCTACGTGATTGTAGCAACCCTTTTTGTGTTTCAGTTCAAAGTCAAAGAGATCAATGAACTGAATATAGCGAGCAAGCTTGTCATTTAGTTCCCCTTGGGTCTTCATCCACTGTAAGGTGGAGTAATCTGAATAGATCTTGAAGTGCCTGCCCACGAGGAAATGTTTCCAATGCTTGAGCGCTGACACTAGAGCATACAACTCTTTCTCGTATGTAGAGTCCTACAACTTCTTAACTTTGATCTTCTTACTCATGTACTCCACCGGCTTCAGACCATGCCCACTGTCCTGCTGAAGTACCACCCCAACCCCGTACTGGCTAGCATCAGTGGTTAGTACAAAGGGCAAGGTAGGGTCAGGTAACTTCAAAACAGGTGCACACATCAAAGCCTCCTTGAGGCGTGTAAAAGCCTGCTGACAGCCTGGTGTCCAAAGAAAGTGGGTGTCCTTCTTTGTGAGGTCAGTCAGGGGCGCAACAATAGCACAAAAGTTCTTGACGAACTTTTTGTAGTAGGAGGCATGACCCAAGGATGACCGGACATCACGCACTGTGGTAGGCTGTGGCCAGTCCTGAATCGCAGCAACCTTAGTTGCTTCAGGAGCCAGCCCTTCCCCAAAGATTACATGTCCCAGATAAGTCACAGAAGTCACTCCAAAGGAGGACTTTTCCTTGTTGATCTTATACCGGGCCTCATGTAGTGCCTGGAGAACCAGAGCCAGATGCTGCGCATGCTCCTCGACAGATCGACTGAATACCAGGATGTCATCTAGCTACACAACTACAAATCTGTCTAGGTAAGGACTGAGTATGCGATGCATCTCTGGCTGGAATGTTCCAGGGGCATTGTAGAGACCGAAAGGCATGACTAGATACTCATAAGTACCGTATCTGGTCTTGAAGGCAGTCTTGTGGACATCGCCTTCAGCCATCTCAATCTGGTGGTAGCCAGATTTGAGATTGATCTTGATGAAAATCGTGCAACCCTACACCATGTCCAACAATTCATCAATCACAGGAAGCGGCTCTGTTGACTTCCTAGTGATTTTGTTGAGACCTCGATAATCTACGCTCATTCTGAACTCTCCATTTCCCTTTGGAACAAAGGGAACTGGATCCCCAAATTCAGAAGTGCTCGGTCTGATCCATCCCTTGCTGGTCAGGGTCTCAAGCTGTCTCCTGAGCTCATCGAGTTCAACAGGTGACATCCTGTAGATACGACCGAACCGAATCTGGCAGGAGCTCAATCCTGTGCTGGGTCTGCCTATGGACAAGTCCAGTCGGCTCCTGCATCAGGCTTGGAAACCGGTCCAAAGTCCAAAACCTGCTGAATCGGTGGGGAACAAGGAGCAACATCCACACCAGTTTGTTTCATGTATGCGATTAACAAACGTGTGTGGGTCATCTGGCGAGAGAGCTGAAAGAACTCATGTGCTCTCAGGCAATAGCAACTGCTGACTGAATGGTACTCATCAACTAATATACAACGCTGATAGTCCCCTCTACAGTCAGGAAGCTCAACCCTAGGGATCTGCCAGTCGATCCTAGGGTTAGTGGCCTCAAGCCACTGCATGGAGAAGACAAGATCAAAAGGTACATTGGGGAAAACATAGGAGTTCAGGCGTTGCCTGACCTTCTCCTGCCCGTCGAAGATCACCGGTAGGCCCTTGATA